TGGAAAAATGCCAATTTTACCAGTCATCTGTCACCTATTTAGGGCATGTCGTCTCAGCCGAGGGAGTGGCAACGGATCCCGCTAAGCTTGAGGCCGTGGTTTCTTGGCCCAGGCCTCAGAGTGTTGCTGAATTGCGATCGTTTCTGGGGTTTTGTTCATACTATCGGAGATTTGTGGAAGGGTTTGCTAAGATAGCTCGCCCGCTTAATGAGTTATTAAAAAATGAGCAGGTAGAGGATACAGTGGGCCATTCGAATCCAATCCATAAAATTAGGGGATCCAGGAAGTCACGAGAATCCATTCAGGCAGAATGGACTGAGCGCTGTGAACAGGCTTTTGATCAGCTGAAGCAGAGGCTCATAAATACCCCAGTCTTAGCTTATGCCGACCCCAATCGGCCGTATGAACTACATGTAGATGCCAGTCGGGATGGTCTTGGGGGAGTATTATATCAGGAGCATGATCAACGTTTAAAGCCCATTGCATATATCAGTAGGGGTCTAACCCCTGGGGAAAAAAATTATCCCATTCATAAGCTGGAATTTTTGGCACTCAAATGGGCGGTGGTGGATAAGTTGAGGGATTATTTGTACGGGGCAGAGTTTGAGGTTAAAACGGACAATAATCCATTCACGTATTTGCTCACCACCGCTAAACTTGATGCAACGGGCCATCAGTGGCTGGCTGCCCTATCGGGGTTTAAGTTTGGGTTAAGATATCGGCCAGGGGTGGGAAATATTGATGCAGATGCGTTGTCAAGGAGGCCTCAGGGTCCGGGGGCAGGTATTAGGGAGTGGGTGAAACTGCCCCCGGATGGTATTCAAGCACTGTATCAAGGGGTCGAGCATCGAGCTAGGGAGGCAATTGGGGCCGAATCAGTGGGGGTTACCATCGCAGGTGTCCCCAAATTATACTGTAATCCGATTCAGATCAGGGGGGAGAGTAGGTTTGCCCTGACTAAGAAAGATCTGTGGAGAGACCAGGTGGAGGACCCTCTATGTGGTTTGGTCGAAAAAGCTTTAAGAAGTGGCCAGCGGGGGGTTCTACTCACTGATGCACCCAGGGGAGCATGAGCGCTGTACAAGGAGTGGGACCGCCTGCAGTTCCGAGATGGAGTAATCTATCGGAGGGGCTTCTCGGATGGGCTCGAAGATAGGTGGCAGCTCTTGCTCCCGGAGAAACATAGAGGAGCGGTACTGTCGGCGCTCCACGACGAGCATGGGCATTTGGGGCCAGAAAAGACCTTTAATTTGGTAGTGGATCGGTTCTACTGGCCCGGTATGAAGAAGGAAGTTGGAGATTACTGTAGATCTTGTCTGCGTTGTATCCAGAGGAAAACCCTGCCATCCAGAACTG